TGATTTTGGTAATAGTACCATGAACGCTATTGGTGCTAGTGCTCACGATCCTTTGAGCAGCGGGGCGTGGAGTATGAGCACAGAGATGACCAGCCCCTTTTTCTTCCCGTAGGTCACCGGCCTTTCCAGTGCCGCTACTGTCCGTACAGTGCCTCTCAGAAGGGGAACCTGAAGACCCACGTGCTCTGCGTCCATCGCATGCCTTTCGACAACAGCCAGTATCCCGACCGCAGATTCAAGCGCTCCAGAGTTGACTCGGAGGCGTCTGGGAGTTTTGAGGAGCCCACAGCCGCCAAGGCGGGGAGCTCAGCGGAGCTAACGGAAGAGGGCGGCAAGGCTCAGGAGGACAGCAACTGAGCAGAGGCGCTGTGCATCGCAATACTATTTTCCACAGTTTTAAGATGATGCATCTGTTAAGAGTTTGCTAACTGTATGCCAAGGGGGGAAAATCATGTACAATCCCCCTCACTAGTGTATAGAACGTTTAAAGAAATTTAAAAAGATATCTATATATATATTAAAAAAGAAATCCCCCGGCCCGTGACCATGGCTGCTAAACTGTTACCCAGCAACAAGTACTTCCAAACAAAGCAGGTGGGAGAAAGGTGATTGCCAAAATGGTTGGTGTCTTTAGAACTCCACAAAGCTGGGGACCCTTCCAACCCGAAAGTCATCCTGGTCCCCAAATAATGCTCTTAAATGAAAAATGATACCATCTAAATGATTTGGCGTTGGCTTGAAGACGGAGGAGCTGTGTTTTCCTTGCTGAAAACACCTCGATAATCTGACACCAGCTGCTGTCATTGGCCTAGCACCCTAATGAGATGTGTGGTGCCAGTCTGACTGGAGAGGTCACTGCAGAGAAAATCAATTCACGTGGTGTCCTTCTGCACTCCCAGAGAAACCTTAGAAGGACCGCAGCCAGCGCCGGGGCTGACCGACGCTGCAGAGGATTGCGATCTGAAATGTGCATTTAAAAAAAAAAACAAAACAAAAAAAAACACAGCCAAATGAATCAATGGTCAGGAAGTATCTGCAGACAAACGTCCATTGCAGGTTTGATGAGTAATTTCTTTTTTTAGATCAAATTGCAGTATTGAAAGACATGTTCTTCCCCTCCTTGCTTGTCTTTTTAATTTTTTTTTTTTTTTAATTTTTGGATGAGGAAGATTGGTATTAAAAATAAATTGTAAGGTACACTGCATAAAATGTTAGGAAAACCGGCCAGTGCTCTCCATAGAAAGTGCCGGTGAGAAACTGCAATTTATGTGAAAATAGAAATTTTTCTTTAATTGTGAATTTTAAAATTTTACTTGAATGAAGGCTGCTCTGGTTCTTGTTATCAGATATTTTTTTTTCCTTGTGTTGGTTTTTGTTAAGTGTTGCTGACAACAAAGCCTGATTTTCTTCTCCAGCAAATGCTTGGGAAAAAGCTGGTATTAAAGTTATGAATCTAAACATCCTGTTCTTTATCTTTAACAAAGAAAACTGTTTGTGTTAAATATCCATTTTTGTAAAACAAATGTGTTCTATATTTTTGTAGATTTTAGATTTTCTAACTGATTGGGTACTCCAAATTTATCAAGTTCTGCACCACACAAAGGGAGATTTTGAGGGTCTATACTGAAATGCTTAACGGATTAAAAAAAAAAACAAAACAAAACAATTTGAGAAAACTAGGTCAAGGTCTCTTCTTGAATCTGCTCAATGATGTAAAAGTCCCGCCTTTTCCCATACTTCCTTTGAGTGACATGGAATTGGTGCTGTTGCTTGTAATGGCCGAGAAGTATTAAAGTATTAACTTCTTCTAAAACAAAATCATTCAGATTAAAAAAAAACAAAACAAAAACAAAAAGTCAATCTTTCCTTGCAGGCTGGGAGCACACAATAAAACCCCAGGGCCTTAAAAACTTCAGCTCTGCCTACAGCAGTTTACAAAAATACTAAACTGCAATCAATGTAAATAAAATTCTTAGCGCTATCCTGAGACCAGAAAGAATCTCAGGCTAATAAGGAATCCGGTTTGCATATGCTGTCAAAGGGTGTCATCTAACCGAGGAGGTTTCGGTGTAAATGAGGTCCCTTTCCACTCAGACCCATCTGGCATAGAGCAAGCTGCTTTCTTATTTTCCTAGTCTAGTTCTCACTGCCTTACTTAAATCAAATTGATAAACTTAATGCAACTGTTTCTATGATCCTAGAGAAAGGACTGAAAATGTTATTGGAAACTTTCTGATTGTAGTAAGCTTTAGGATTTTAACTGCACTACTGTGTTTGGTGGTGACTCTGCCAGTCGCTTGCTTTCTGTGTGTTTGCCCCGCCTTTGGTATCTTAGCAAAGAAAAAAAAAATAAAATAAAAATAAAAAAGGAGAAAAGAAAAAAAGAAAAAAAAAGAGGAAAAAAAAAAGTGGGAATAAAAACGAGAGCCACTTTCCGTTTCTAGCACTTTGGGAGCTCTTTCAGTATTCTTCGTGTCTTTCTGGGCGTCGTCAGATGCGGCAGGCAATAATTCTGTTTGTGACACTGGGAACATCCCCTCTCCTTCGTGGTGTGTGTGTTGATTCCATTTTGTCCAGTGCTACCCTCCTTATCCCCCCCGACACAGGCCTTCTTTCCAGAACATTTGTAACTCGTAATACAAACAAGTGACAGCCGCAGTGATGCCGTGTCAGTTTCTGAATGTCATCAGGTTCTCATATCTAAACATGTCAAGTTTTTTCCCTGTAACTTCTGTAGTCTGTGATGCTGGTCATAATACTGTCTACATTCCTACGCGAAGAAAAAAAAAATCTATCTTGGAGGAAATCTGAGATCAATAGAGTAGAGGATTTTGTTGCTATGCTTGTAACAAGTAGAAAACTTTGTATTTAAAGTTTATTCTTGGTCATTATTTATTATTATAATACATCAGTTGACAGAACTTTATTCTGGTATAGAAAGTATTAAAAGTTGTTTTTTCAGCAATGACTGTTTTCTTTCTGCTGTTAGAATAAAATGTCTTTGAAGCAGTCCAGTTTCATCCAGTGTTTTACACAGCGAAAGCTCTACCTCTGGGGAACAACAGCAGCACCGCATTTTCTCCTAGTCCCTTTTGTTTATGATGGATGATGAAACATATTTTTTCCAGGCCTGTGAGACTTGGCAAATCTTGGTTGAATCCCACTTATAATATTCCTCATTGCCTTATCCTTTTTCAAATTGAATGAGTATCTGCACAGTGTGTGCATGGGTATGTGTGTGTGCGCGTGCGTGCATGTGTGCGTGCGTGTGTGAATTACTTTGCTTTCCAGGTGTGCAGCCATCAGTTTCAATGAGGTAAAACTTATGGACATGTTCATGCTCCTCATATTAGCCTAATTAAGTAAGACACTTAGAGTATTAGTGGTTGTTATTCTCCTTTACGGACAGAAAAGGTTTGTTTTCAATAAAGCCACACTCGTGGAAGTCTTTTACTTCCAAAGTATCAGTGGACAGTCTGAATTTCTCCTCTAGAAGAAAAGAAACAGAACAAAGAATAAGAAAGTCCGGGGCATCTCGGGCTCCAAACGAAGTAGGACCCTGGCACTGATTGGAGAAGGTTTGAAATGTGTGCTTGACACACGGTGCATAAAAGTTCTTTTTGAATTTTTTTGTGTTTTGTTTTGGTCACAACAACAAGCTTTGGTGGTGCATGCTGCAGTTCGGGAGTATGGAGGGGCGCTGAAGTGTTGGGAGCACGTGCGTGCGCCCACGTTTTATAGGAATTGGTAAGTACTCCTTGTTTCTTCTGCGGTTCAGACCGCTGGAGTCCTGGAGTGAGACTAGATGAGCGAAATTGTCACCAGTCCCAATCGTGCAGATGAACAGTGCAAATGACTTACCAGGTTACCACAAGGGTGTCAGAAACAAATCTTTAGGGACAATGGTAGAAGGCGGAGTTATAAGTCACAACTTTTTTCCAAAGAACATACAGGCTAGGTCTGAAGCTCAGAGGCCAGCTGAGATACCGCAGAGGTGGAGGGAGGACTTTAGGAATGACAGGGTATGAGGTGAGCTGGGGAGCAAGACCCTCTGCCATGGGGCTAGAGGACCCTTAGCAGCCACCCACACATCCTCATAATGAGGAATGTGGCACCAGGCCTTCTGAGTTTCTATGAGGTAGCAGACACTGGAATGTTATATTAAGTCTTACAATTGATCCATGTTAGCTAATTTAAAAAAAATGCAATGCATAGATAGACATGTGGTATATCTATATAAAAGAATATTATTCTGCTGTAAAAAAGGAAAAAAAAATTGCTGCAGCATGAAAAAGCCATAAAAAAGTCAGTTGTAAAAATACACCTGTCATAGGAGTCCCTTTACTGATATTGCCACTGAGACAGAAAGGGGTGTCAGCATTTGAGGGGAGGGGAGAATGCAGGGAGACAGCTAATGAGAATGGAGTTGCTTTTGGGGGTGATAAAAATGTTCTACAATTAGATAGCAAAGATGCTGTCCCACTTTGTAAATCTAATAAGAACCATTGAACTGTACATTTTAAAAAGGGTGAATTTTATGGTTTGTGAATGATGGTTCAATAAAGC